TTTTTTGCTCAAAGCTACCACTTGAGCCACTGTTCCACTTCTGGCTTTTTGTGGCTAGTTGGAGATTAAAAAAAAAAAAAAGTCTCATGGACTTTCCTGCTTGGGCTGGCTTCAAACTTCAATTGTCAAATCTCAGCCTCCTGAGTACCTGGGATTACAGGTGTAAGCCTGTAATTCATAAGATTTCTATGCAATTACTTAAATACCAAATTGTACTCTTGGGGTTTTTTTGTTTGTTTGTTTACCTAATCTCTCGTTTGGTCATATTAAGTTAGGGGTTCAAACTATGAAGATGTTTGTTTACCAACGATAGACCTATAGTTATATCACTTGAGAGCTATATCTCAAGTTAAATGTTATGGAGTCATAAAATTTAACCACAATAGACTAATCATAGATATAGTACAATCAATTAAATATAGCTTTCAAATAATTTTTAAATTTTTTATTATTATGAAGATGAGTATAGAGGGGTACAGTTAGATAAGTCAGGTAAAGAGTACATTTCTTTTTGGAAAATGTCACTCCTTTCCTCTCTCCCATATTTTCCTTCCTGTCCCCACCCACAATTTGTATAGTTCATTCTCAACATAGTATCTAATGAGTACCACGGCTGCATTTGTTCACCCTTTGTCTCACCATTTCTGTGCCCATTACCCTCCCAAACAGATAAACGAACAAACAAGACAAAAACAACAAAGAAAAATTTCTTGTTTCCATTACTTGGAGTTCATTTTCAAATAATTTTTTAATTCCTTTTCAAGGCTAGAAGACAAGCATCTCAAGTCTTTACAGCAGAGAAGATTCCTTGAAGAATAATGGTAGAATTAATTATACTTTGTTTTCCAAATTCAGACATTGAGTTCTGTAATATACCTGAATTCCCTTAATGTTAAGCATGTTATTTAAGTTTCTATAATGCCTTTACTCATAGTATATCATTACTTAGTAATTATTTCAATAAAACATCTTGTTTGTAATTATTTCAATAAAACATCTTGTTTGCATTATGGGTTTTGTTTTTTTTAATCCATGTTTCAAATATCAAGTTTGTATCAGGTCCTAACTTGTATTCCATCAATTTCTTTAATCTTCCATTTAATTCTTCCAGAAAGTACTGTCAGTAGCCCGATAAGGAAGCTGCAGCTCTGAAAGGTTAGGAATTTGCCCAAGAACCTGGTAATAATCCAGAATACAAACCTTGGCCTCTCACTTTGAAACATTTAACATTATACCATTTGGCTAGCTTGGCCATTACGGTAATCAGATTTTTCATCACTGTGACAGATAGCTGATAGAGGCAATTTCAAGGAGGAAAGATGTATTTTGGCTTCTGGTTTCAGAGGTTACTGTACATTCTTGCCAGCTTTGTTGTTTCTGGGCCAGCTGTGAGGCAGATATAGTGGAGCTAAGCTGCTGGCCTCATGATGGCCAGAAGCAGAGACAAAGGGGGCTGTAAAAAAGGTATACCAACTTGGGCTGGGAATTGAGCCATGACCTTGTTTATGCTAGGCAGTTGCTCTAACTGACCTATAATCTCACCCAGGATATACCTTTCCAGAGGCTGGGAATGTGGCTTAGTGGTAGAGTGTTTGCCTAGCATACATGAAGCCCTGGGTTCGATTCCTTAGTACTTCATAAACAGAAAAGGCTGGAAGTAGTAGAGCACTAGTCTTGAGCACAGAGAGGCTCCGGGACAGCTCCCAGGCCCTGAGTTCAAGCTCACAACTGACAAAATAAAAATGATGCACCCTTCTAAGACATGAAACCAGTGACCTGCCCATTCATCACTCTCACCTCGTTTCTATGGCCTCCCAGTTCTATCGTATTAGGATTCCATCCTTGGATCAATTGATGGTTAGCTGGATAAATATGTTAATCACAACCCTTATACCTAATTGCTTTTCACTTTGGACATGAATTGATCATCTGGGGCCTAGCCTTCAATACATGCGCTTTTATCAGCACAAACTCATGTCCAAATAATAATTGGCACTGCCCAAAACTACTACACCTGGTCATGCTTGCTTAATTTAGTGCTTCCTGACCTGCTCAAGTCTAGATTAAGTGTCCTAAATACATGACAAAAGTGTTATGCTCACCATAGACTAGTGATAGACTTCCAGTCTAAGTGCAGGAATTAAAAATTCATCTGATATATTTTTATTTGGTAAAACAGCAGCATTGGACTGACATTTTATGTTTGTTTTGTTTTTGTCGGTCGTGGGCTTGAACTCTGGGCCTGGGCACTGTCCCTCAGCTCTTCAGCTCAAGGTGAGCGCTTTACCACTTGAGCCACAGTGCCACTTCCAATTTTCTGAGTGGTTTATTCAAGATAAGAGCCTCAGGGAGTTTCCTGCCCGGGCTGGCTTTGAACTGTGATCCTCAGATCTCAGCCTCCTGAGTAGCTAGGATTACAGGCATGAGCCACCAATCCCTGGCTGAAATTTTTTTTTAATTGTTCCTTTTCCACAGAATTTGCCATGTGCTATTCTATGGCCTCTTGTAGTGGATTGTATCATACTACAGGCTATATTTTAGTCTCATTTCCTGTTTACCTTCTCATATTCCTCCCTTCTGTGAACTATGCCTACTTTTGATTAGTACACTTGAACTTAAAAATACTTCTCAGTAAATGAAAATATTTTAAAGAAGTAACGCTAAAGAACTTTAAGGTGTCTGGATAATCCCCCCTTCCCTTCTCTGCCTATCATTTTTCCTTAATTCAAATTAATATTTTGTGTTGCTTGGATGTGAACTTAGAAATTTGTCCTTGGTTGGTGAGCTCTCAACAATTTGAGCCATGCTTCTAGCCCTTTTGGCCTTAGTTGTTTTTCAGATAGGGTCTCACATTTTTGCATGGAATTGACCTCAGACCATGATTCTTCCCCCTCAAAACTGGGAGTACAGCGTTGCTCACCACATCTGGCTTGTTCTCTGAGATGAGAGTCTTGTTAATTCTGCCTGAGCCAGCCCTAAGATCTTCCAAACTCTATCTCCTGAGTAGTTCGGATTATACTTGCAAATCTCTTTACCTGGCCCCACAAATTAGTTTTGATTAAGGAAGCTGAAAAGTAACAAAAGGGCTAAAAAAAAAATGGAGTGTCTCTATAGACTGAGTGATTATAGAATTATGAACGTTCACCCAGGGAAGAGTCTATACACATACACCACAATTGCACACAAATATCACACACAGGCTTGATAAAGCAGTTATGCAGGATTAAGAAGGCTACATGTAGCTGGCTCTGGCACAATGGATAGCGCATTGGACTTCTGGACAAGAAAGCTACATGCTCTACTTCCATTCTTACAATGCTAACAAAATACATGCTGGAATTAAGGAGTTTTCAATATGTGTTTTGTTGGGTTTTTTTTTTAAATCTCCACATCCCCTCCATACTTTATAGAAGTCTCAAAAGGCTTTGTGGATTAAAATCTGAATTGTGAGATTTATATAGAGGACACAGTATACATTCCACTTACTGCAGTCATGAGAACAGTGATGTCATTTAGCCTCTAGAAAGTCTTTGGACATCTTTCTATAAAAATTGTATGAAATGTCAAGTTTGGTGTTTTCAAGGAATGACACTTTGCACATGAGTTTTATCTATGCATATAATCACACACACCCCTTGCCTACATTGGATGTGTATGTTAAGGACACCTAAGAGTGGGCTAATTTAGTTGTTAGTCTTCATCTTCTTCCTCATATTCATCTTCCTCTGATTCTTCAATCTCCTCTGCCACAAATTCAGATGCTTCTTTTGCAGCCATCAGAGCCTGCTCCTCCTCCACGCTGGGGTCATCCACTTCTATAACCTCTGATCTGCTCGGGTATTCCTGATAAACTGGTGGTAGAACTGGAGGAGTATAGTTGTCCACGCTGTACTTATGACCCCAGCCTATGTAGAAATTTTCAAACTTTCTGTTAAGTATAAAACAAAAGTCACTGGAATATTCTATTCAGTAAGAAATAAATATAGATTCTTTTGAAGCAATATGCTATACATTTAAAATACCAGAGGTAAAAAAGCCCTCAATGATTCTACCATAAGGAATCTATTTTGATCCAAACTGCTTAAGCTGGTTAAGAAAACCACAGGGCCAGACTCTGTCAAAATATACCCTACATCTAGACTGCTAAAAAAGAAAATTTGCTGGATGCTGATAGCTCTTGCCTTGTAATCCTAGCTACTCAGGAGACTAAGATCTGAATCACAATTGGAAACCAGCCTGGGCAGAAAAGTTGGTAGGACCCTTATGGAAATTAACCAGCAAATTAAAAAAAAAAATTCCAGCTGGGCGCTGGTGGCTCACGCCTGTAATCCTAGCTACTCAGGAGGCTGAGATCTGAGGATCACGGTTCAAAGCCAACCCGGGCAGGAGAGACCTTGAGACTCCTATCTCCAATAAACCACTAGAAAACCGGAAGTGCTGTAGCTCAAGTGGTAGAGCGCTCGCCTTGAGCTGAAGAGCTGAGGGACAGCGCCCAGGCCCAGAGTTCAAGCCCCACGACTGACAAAAAAAAAAAAAAAAATCCAGTCAAGTAGAAGAATACCAGCCTTCAGGAAAGTGGAGCTCTATATGGATACAGATTTAGATATAGAGATATAGATACAGATTTAGCTATAGAGATATATCTCCACTCCTTTATACATGCATATATTTATATATATAAGTATATATGTATATATACATACACACATATATATAATTTGATATATATATATATATATATATATATAATTTGAGCTTCACCTCCACTTTCAACTTTTTCCTGATTTTCTGCTTAGGCTGTCTTTGAACAATGATTTCTCAGATATCAGCCTCCTGAGCAGCTTCAATTACAGGGTTGAGACACCAGCATACAGCCTACAGGTATTTTAATAAAACTTATGCCACTAGCACCCCATACGCCAAAGATGAGTTAAAATACTAGTGCCTCAACGTTCCAGTGGTAACCATTTCCAGCACTTACTCTGGCCTTATAAATGGCCAGATACTTACTTGCCATTGGAGAAAGCATATGCTCCAGGCCAAAGATTGGAACGAAGGACTGCAATAGCATACTGAGGAATGAAATGTGATGATAGCCGTGCTGTCCAAGGGGGGATGTTCTGAATCTCTAGAACCAAAGAAGAAACATGAAAGCTTAGCCCTTAAGTAGGTAAGAATCTACTATTTTACCAAAGTTACTTTTTTGTAAATCTTGGTTTTACACACACACACACACACACACACACACACACACACACACAAATTTGGTATAGAAAAAAAGTTAAAATAGCTTAACACTTGCTTAGCAAGCACAAAGCTCCATATCTAATACTTTCAAAAAACTCAATTGCATATATGAAAATGTTTATATCAGTTTTTGACATGTATGCCAAAAAATGCTGTTTTACAGCAGCAAAAAAAAAAAAAGCACAAAATCAGTAGAGCAGTCCCTTGATTTGGAAACAAGAAAATTTGAAATAGATGTATGCTTGTTTTTACCAGTAAGATAGATAAGGTTATGTGTTAAGAGGGAATGCTGTCTGGTAACTAAAGCAAAGGTTATTGCCATGGGAGAGAATAAGGGTAATAAGCCAAACAAAATTGAAGAAGAAACAAAAACATGTAGACATGAGTTAATTAGAAAACAAGAAAATAATGGGGCATTCTTTCTACAGCTATGCCATGTTTATGATTTGCAGAATGTAAGACAGGAATATTGCACAAATGACTAAATGACTGTTACCAGTCTCAGTAAGAACTACAGGCTACTTGAGTTTTCTCTCAGCATCATTCCTTCAGTATGCAACATGATGAAATGGCTAGAAGCGTTTTTTCCTTCCACCATTCCAGAACCCATGAAGGGAAAAGAGGATGAGTGCATGACTCCTCTCTACCTTTTAGAGGTTTCCAACTCTCAGATACTCACTATCTAATCACATGGCATACAGTTTGTGTGTGTCCACATTAATAGTTATTTAAAATTACCTAAATCTTCAGAGATAGGTGTCAGAAGAGGAGGCCCCACTTCCTGTTCTATGTAGTCAGGCTCTTCACCTTTTTCTTCTTTTTCTTCTTCTATTTCCTCCTCTTCTTCCTCGTTTTTTTGTGTGGGGTTGAACCAATTACAGCGTCCCTAGAGATGAATGCCACAAAACTTACAATCTCAGAATACAACTGGGAAGTTGGCTCACTGGTAAGAGTGCTTGCCTTGCATGCATGTGGCCCTAGGTTCAATTCCTTAGCACCATATAAGCAGAAAAGGCCAGAAGTGGCACTGTGGCTTAAGTGGTAGAACCCTAACCTTGAGCTGAAGAGCTGAGGGACAGTGCCCAGGCCCAGAGTTCAGCACCACAACCAGCAAAAAAAAAAAAAAGTCTCAGAATAAACCAAACTGATGGCTGATAACTTATAATCCTAACTACCCAAGAGGCTTAGATCCAGCCTCCGCAGAAAAGTCTGTGAAACTCTTATCTCCAACTAACCAACAAAAAGCTGGAAGTAGAAGTATGGTTTAAGTGGTAGAGCACCAGACTTGTTAAAAAAAAAATAAGTGAGAGCTGGAAGCCCCAGATTCAAGCCCTAGTACTGACACAAAGTGCACACATGCATGCGTGCACACACACGTCATAATATTCATTTAGACTGAAGCAATTATCACACTTACAAAGGTCTGTTTTCCATCAAGGTTTATTTGTAGCAAAAAAATATTTATTTGAAGCATTTGCCAGTAATTTTGAAGTTACAAAAGTTGAAGGTAAAGTCTTGTAAAACAAATGTAACAAACTGGCTTATAATAATTTGTGTGTGCAAGATAATTAGGAAATTATGAATATTAATAACAAAAATGTTAAGTGTGATAATGGGATTGAGTTGGGAGAGGGAAATGGAGAAAAATGAGGGACAGGGTAACAAGTTAGACAAGCAATATAATCACCATTACTTATGTAACTATACAGTTACGTAACTAACCCCTCTGTACATCACCTTGACAATAAAATTTAAAAATAGGAGTGAGTTAAATTTTCTCAATGAACTAAATGTTATCTAGAGATACTTGAAAGCATCTCTTATCTAGATCAAAGTGTCATGAAGATTTTCTACCTGCACATGGAAAGTACCACAGAGTGGTTTAGAGAATGCATATGTCCATTTTGTACAGCCTCACATCTGATTCTGTTACTTATTAGCTATATTGTTTTTGTCATGTTCCCTAAGCACTGCTTCAGTTTTCCTCATCTGCAATATAAATGTAGTAACAGTGAATCTTTCATGGGGTTGTTGTGAGGAGTAAATTATATGTCTCTCTATAGTTTTATACATAATATAATGTACACGTAGTGCTACTAACAACATCTAGTGCAATACTATATAATTGCTATTTAGCACTGTTCGCTTATTTTTGTTTTTGTCACAATATTTAGTGTCTGACATAAGTATCCATCTAAAAGAATTGTTCCATGTGTTGTAGAAATAGAATAACGTAGTTTCCATAATAAATGTATCTGTATAATTTGAAAAATAGTTATTTCATCTATCATATTTACTGTACAAAAAAATGGAGTAATTGCATAACACACTTAAGTCTAAATCTATACATTACCTGGCAAATAGTCTCCTACCTGAGGGAGAATATATTGTACATGATGAACCCAATTGGATAGAGATTCCACTAGATCAACTACTTGGATGCCTTCAAATTCAGGGTTTTCCTCAAAGCTATCTCGTCCACCTTCTACTTCTTCCTCCTCCTCTCCTTCCTCTTCACCAAACTGATAGAATCCTAGAGGACTGATGTGGGTTCCTGCTGAAATCCGGGCAATTTGTGCTCGCAAATAATTGCTCTCATTTCCTGGGAAAGGTGGGTAGCTTATGACGGGAGCATCTAATCGCCCAGTGAAATATTTCTTGATTTTTCTTGCAGTAACAATTTGTGCAGGTGTAACTAATGGTAACTTCACCCATGGTCTTCCTGGTTCATTGCAAACAAAATAGATATATTTGTTGGCACCTGTTCGACTTTCTTCTTTAGGTATAGCTTGTGGGGCCTTGTAAAGGGACTTTGGTAGTTCATCTTCCTCATCCTCAGCTTCACTTTCTCCATTGTCCTTCTCGTTAGCAACATCTTCCTCTTCCACCTCCTCTTCCTCTTCCCCCTCACGAAATTCCACTTCAGCTATAATATAGTTCATTTCCAGGCCCAGGATCTTGCCCCATAATCGGCATCTTTGGATTGGGTGAGTGTCAGTAAGTTGTTTGAGGGCCAGAAATATGCGATAAGTTTCATCTGTTCCCAAACCAACTCCAGCTTGTTCAAAATAATATGCTGACTCCATTACATTTGGAAGAGAGTTTTCTACCTAGAAAAACAAGATTTGGTTAATATTCTATTCTTAAGGAAAATGCCTGTTTTTTTTTTTTAATTGGGACTCCTGAGTAGCTAGAGTTACAGGCATGGGCCTGTGACTTGTGAATGTTGCTTTTTAACTAATAATGTCTTTGAGTCGTTGATCCAATAATTAACCTGTTTTATGTGTCTCTAGAAAGAATTGAACAAATTTAATTTTAACAGATTTGTTTACAGGAATATTCGTGACTGAGCTGGGAATGTGGCTTAGTGGTAGAGTGCTTGCCTAGCATTCAATTCCTCAGTACCACATACACAGAAAAAGCTGGAAGTGGCACTGTGGCTCAAGTGGTAGAGTGTTAGCCTTGAGCAAAAGAAGCTCAGGGACAGTGCTCAGACCCTGAGTTCAATCCGCAGGACTGGCAAAAAAATTGCAATTCTCTTTCTATCCTAAGGCATAGAACATGTATGTAGTATGTGTATATATGTATATGTGTATACATATGTATATAACACACATATATGTAATATGTATGCATGTACGTTTGAGTCTGTATGTATGTTTATATTGTCATAGTATTAAAATATTTACTAACTACAAGGGCATATATGGCAAATAAATATCAATATGATAATTAACATAGATAAGGTAACAAATTATAAAGAACATATAACAGTGTGTAGGCATAATCTATATAAAATGGTATAATATAGTCAATTGCTCCTACTTACAATAAACCATTTGGCATTTAAAATAATGAGACCTTTGTACAATTCTATGAAAATAAATAATAATGAAGAGAAAAATAACTCCCTACAAGAAAATAAATAGAGGGCTGGGAAGGTGGCTCAGGGGTAGAGTGTTAGCCTTGCATGCTTGAGGCCCTGGGTTCCATTCCTCAGTACCACATAAGCAAAAAGAAAAAAAGCCGGAAGTGGTGCTGTGGCTCAAGTGTTAGAGTGCTAGCCTTGAGCTGAAGAGCTGAGGGACAGCGCCCAGGCCCAGAGTTTAGGCCCCACGACCGGACCCCCCCCCCAAAATAGAAGTTTTAAAGCATTTGTGAGTATATTGGAAGTGAGGAAAAAACTTCAGACAACTTTCAAGACAAAGTATTGGCCCATCGGATGGAGAAATGGAGAGCATTTGCAATTGATACTAATGATCTGATCTTTTTCCTTTACGAGGAGGTTTCACTGTGAGATTTCTATTCTAGTCTTCCACTGGAGGCTGACTCATGTCTTCTTGGGAATGTCTGCCTGTGTGCCTGAAGCCCACGTGTTGCATTCTCTCACACCCATTATCTTTGTATATATGGCACACAACCACCTGCCACCTTGTTAAAGCAATTTAGCGTCATCTCTTTGACATCTATACCCTGTTCCTCTTGTCTGCGCACTCTGGGCCCTACTTTGTGAGCAAAGTTCCTTCCCATGGGCTGTTGAGCCCTAGGGGTGTGGCTATGTCAGGCAGCTGTTCCTTCCCTCTCTTCTCTCAGAGGATCCCTTGTTGCACATATGTCTCTCTAATCATCAAAATTTTCATCTACATAATCATTTTATTTATGGTTATTTTAAAATGATCTTTAAGAACTTGTACAAATGGGTTACCATTCAATCTTCAGTTTCTAAGTACAGTGCATCTTGGTCAAGATCACCTCTTTCATCATTCTACCCCATCTCTCCCTAGCCCATCTATCCCCTGAATTTTCCTAGTCACAGACAGATTTTAGATAACCTGGTGATCAAAGCATAGATGTTCAGACGATATGTATAAGTTGTAAGGATATAGCCATTTAAGAAGCATAATTTGGGCAACTCTTTGGAAATGGTTAAAGCTAAAATTCCTGTGCTATTCTTGATTGTACTCTCTGATAAAGATGTTTAGCCCATGATAGCCAATTCTTTTTCAAAATGTTTTCACCATTTATTTCTTGAGATCAAAACAAGTATTTTATTCCTCTCTTCTTCTATTAATAAATACTGTACCCATAATATTACTATGCAGATATTGCCACAATCCTCAAGATATAAGGAACTTGCTTACAAAGAGAATGAAAATGCCATGAGAAGTAGTTTCCAGTGTTCTATGGAAATACAAGATTGACTTAAACCTTCATTTTAAATTATAGTCATGCATCCCTTTATGACAGGGATACATTCTGAGAAACACATCCTTTGGCAATTGTATTATGAAAATAACATAGAAAGCCAGGCACCAGTGGCTCATGCCTGTAATCCTAGCTACTCCGGAGGCTGAGATCTGAGGATTATGGTTCAAAGCCAGCCTGAGTAGGAAAGTTAACCACCAGAAACCCAGAAGTGGCACTAGCTTTGAGCAAAAGAGCTCTGGGACAGTGCCCAGGCCCTGAATTCAAGCCCCACTGCCAACCAAAACAAAACAGAACAAAAAAAGAATACACTTACAAATTCCAAATGTACCTACTGTACACAACTGTACATGCTTGACTTCCATATGAGTACATTGAGGTAGGTTTCTTTACAGCAGCATCACCATAGACACATAATATGTTGTGTTATGACCTTACAATGGGTTTGATGTCACTATGCTATGCACTGCTCAGCTTACTATAAGCTTTATTTTTTGTGTACTGGGCTTTAACTGAGGGCTCATTCAGCTTCACTGCTCATGGCTGGTCCTTTACAATTTGAGCCATGCCTACAACCCAGTCTTTGCTAGTTAATTGAAGATGGGTTCTCTTAGAATTTTCTACTGGGGCTTTGAACTTAGATCCTTTATGTTACCGCCTACTGAGTAGCTAGAATTATAGTTGTGAGCCATCAGGACTCCGCGCTTACTAAAAATTTATATAGTAATATGATCACTATCATAAATATAATATGTCATTGGGACTCCTGAGTAGCTAGAGTTACAGACATGGGCCTGTGACTTGTGGATGTTGCTTTTTATATTAATAGTGTCTTTGAGTCATTGATATGATAATTAACCTGTTTTATGTGTCTCTAGAAAGAATTGAACAAATTTAATTTTAACAGATTTGTTTATAGGAATATTCGTAACTGAGCTGGGAATGTGGCTTAGTGGTAGAGTGCTTGCCTAGCATTCAATTCCTCAGTAACTAATGTCATTAGTTAAGACATAATTTTATGAAAACTTCATTCACTATTCAAGAGATATTTACTAAGAAGCAACAGCTCTCCACACAAACTTGTACCGGGCAAGCTGGACAATATTAAAACAAAAGCTTATCCTACAAGCATATGACAAGACAGAGGCCTGTAAAATAAATAAAAACTCTGCAAACACAAAATGAGACACCCCTAAACAATGTTGATGAGAGAAAGCCTAAAATACATTTAAGAAAAAAATATCCAAATACTATAAAAATGTTAAGAAAAATGTTAAAAAAAATTCCACAATCCCAAATCGCCAGACTTATAATAGACATTGATATTCATTTATAATTTGTAGTCATGACTTACCATTTCATCTTCCAGTTCCTGATCAGCTCCTTCCAAATGTCCCTGGAGAAAAAGAGCCCTCTGTCTCTCTGCAATTTCGTATGCTGGAAGCAGCTCATTCTCATTTTGCAGGGTATCGAATTTTTTACTAAAATGTGCCAATTTTACATCTTGACTGATTTTTTCAATGATATCAACAGCATTTTCAGGACGCTCATCTAATATCTTGGTAAGCATGTTAGCAAGATGATCATATCTGTTCAACAGAGAAACTTTCAGACAATGCTCACAGCAAGAACATTGAAATAATGTACACATCAAGAGCATCTCATGCAGACCACGTTATTGGAGGTTTTTGGCAACTTTAACAACTCTAAGTATTCAGAGATTATCAGTGTAGGTGACTTCTAGCATACCAGAAAGAATCTATTCAACAAGTTTCCTTAGGAAATGCCTCCACTCAGGAGGCAGAGATCTGAGGATTGTGATTCAAAGCCACCTTGGACTGTTATCTCCACTTAATCAACACACAAAAAAAGTGGAAGTGGAGCTGTGGCTCAAGTGGTAGAGTGCTAGCTTTGAGCAACAAGACTCAGGGACAGCATCCAGGCCCTGGGGATTCCCAGGGGGACAGGCACACACAGGCACCCACGCACGCACACACACACACACACACACACACACACACACAGAGGAAGAGAGAAAGTGAAAGAGTGAAAGAAGAAGACGAAGAAGACAAAGATGAAGAGGAGGAGGACAATGACGAAGGCATGTCATGGAACATATTTATTACCATGGAAAAAGAATTTGAAAATAAAATTAAATGTAAATATAAAGAAACACCAGTCATAAAATAATTGAGTAAAAGAGATTTTTCACTTTAGCTTTCCAATCCCATTTAAAATTTTTATGAACTCACGAATATTTACAATGAGCTCTTTTTAAAGTTTAGTAGTTTGAAGATCAAGCTCTTCATTTGATCCAAGGAATTATGACTTAAAGTTTATCTTGCAAATTCAAATAGAATCCACTAGAGAATAGTAAATCACATTTTCTTGATTTTTAATTTTTTATAATTTTGTATTGAGATTAACTGATTACATAAATTTCACAATATTGTGAGATAGTGATACTTAAAGTCACAACACATTTTAACCTTCATGAGGCAAATTGTCATTATCATGGTCTACCACGTTTGTGAATTCTATGAGCTTTGACAATACAATGATTTCTTCCACATCGGGTGATATGTACATTTCTTTCCTTTTGCTTAGTGTCAGCTGTTCCCTCTTTCCCTTTCGTTCCCTCCCTCCATCGCTTAAGATTGCAGACGTAAGTGCTGCTCATTGTATTTGCAAGCATCCTGGACGGATGCTGAGAGGTGATGTACTATTTCAAGCACCAAGACTCCATAAATTCTTGCTTTTATTTCTATGTGCCTGGGGTCCTCAAGGAACCTTAAAGAGTCCCCACTAGTGGGCTGTGTGCGGTTCTGTGATGCAGCTATACCACTGCCCTGCTTTTATTAACAAATGGTTTTCCACCCACCACAACCACAAACCCCTTATCACTGTGCCACGCCCCCCGCCAATCTTACAGGTTTAAGCCTGTCTTGCTGCTGGTGTTCTGTAGGAAGGACTTGGCATTCTGGATGGCGATGTCCAGCATGCTGGGGGCCTCCTCGCTGGCCCGGGGCTCGGGCAGAGCCGGGTCCCAGTGGCCGTCTGAGTCTTCCTCCGGAGAAATGATCACCCCGCGCTCTTCCCGCGGGGAGTCGTCGTGGCTGGCACCCCACGGCCCACGCAGGCCAGCTCCGGATTGTGGAGCCCAGGGGAAGGACGCTTCCTCTGAGGGACTCGCGTGATGGGGTGCGGGCTCCCTCTCCTCGGACGGCCGGCGGCGCGGATCGAGGCCCGGGCCCGCGCTGCTGGTTCTGCCTGGCCGCCAGGGGGCCGCCAGGTCCGGGTCGGGGCTGCCCGGCGTCGGGGCGGAGGGCCCCCGAGGAGGGGCCGCGGGAGCTGGCCCCCGGGGTCCTGGGACGTCTCCCAGAGGCCGGGGCTCGGGGTCTGCTGGGCTCCGCTCGGCCTCCCAGGGCGCGGGGGACGGGGGTTCGGGCTCGTGAGGAGAAGCTGCCAGGGCTCCTTCTTCCCCGGGCGGCTCCGCCCCGCCGAGTTCTTGCCTTTCTTTTTCTTGATGGAAGGAGATTGAACTTTCCATGGAAGCAATCAAGAGCGCGCCCCCTCCCCAGTAAAGCGTTCTGGATGCGCAGGCGGTGCGGTGACGGACGCAGGCAGCGCCGCGCGGCCGCTCCGCGGGGCACCCGGCGGGTTCGGGCTCGCGGCGCGGGACGGCGCAGCAGCGTCCCGTCTCCCTAGCAACCCCGGGGGGGTTCCTCCGGGAGCACCGGGCGGGCCCGCCGCCAGGACTCCGGGGGAGGAGACCAGAAAGACGGAAAGCGCAGCACTGTCATTGGTGGAGCCTCTGCTCCTCTTTCGACACCAGCCAATCCGGCCTGGACTCTTGTTTAGAAACCTGAGAACTCCGGGTCTTGTTCCGGGAGCCCCAACTGAGAAGGGAGAACCGAGAGCCGGTGCTGGAGAAAGTCTGTGTGTGTGACAACCAGACCCAAGTTAGACTTTGAGTGACTCATGCATTCGTGGAGAGAGGATGCATTTTCCCATCTGTGTGTCTGAGCGAGAGGAGCTGGGAGGA